CCAACCCAATAGTTGTCTTCCTTCTAGTTGTCAACTATAAATAAAGTCCTATGCAGAGGTACCTGTCGATCTGAGGCGACAAGCCTATTTAAAAAAAAAATAAGTTTCTTATCGTTCAGTCACTGATTTGACATTCGACTGAAGTCTGCTCATTCAGATTGCTTTCGACCCAATGAAAAATTCGTCGTTTTAACCTGGACCAAATTAAGAGAAGCGTCCAAACGATAATAACGTCAATTAAAAATTTGATAAACACGATGAGAACAGAGAATAAAATTGATACGACGGACGGTGTATAAAGGTTTTGAGATGCAGAGGAAGGAACGGTGACGGGACAGACACGTATACACGCGCGATCAATCCGTTTGGGAGAGTGGTGAGTTCTCCGGTTAGAAATGCATCGCGAGAAGGCGCACGGTTTAACTACGACTACGTCGGTTTGATTGAAAGGAGCGCCCGCAGGCCTTTCAAGCTTCGTTACGAGCGAGTCACCCTTGAACCTCGTTATATGCAGTCAACTTTTCAACACCTCCAGCGTCGGGGCGCACGCGCCGGACAGATGCGCGTCCTCGTCGACGTCGACGCGCCCGAGACACGAATACGTCGACAACGCTTATCTACGTTCCACGATCCTATCAACATTTTTCCGTCGAAGGTACCAGTTTTTCACTAACCGATAACCGTATATAAATATTCTAGCAGGTTTTCCTTAACCCATTTACATAATTTGTTACCAGATATAAATATTGTAATAAAAATGAATACAATTTGCAATATAAGTAAAATCATATTGTTATCTATTTACCAAAAAACTGGGTCCTTATATCGACGAGTAGGAGGCAAAAATAATTCAGCTGAGTCAATTCAGCCAACAATAATTATTATTTAAACTATCAATCTCATCTCGTCATTGTTTAAAAATACAAATTCGAAGATAGGATCCCTTGAAGGCCCTTCAGAAAATTCGTGCCTAGATCCTGTCCTACTAGTCATTAAAATACTATCCAAAAGGGTTTGAATTCATTATATTCCATTCATTTATTATTTCACATTAGCGGCAGTAATTGAAAAACGATGAGTTCGTCCCGTCGAGCGATGGCCGATCGGTTCACGGACTGTCCGGGCCCGTGCAACCCGCGGAACAAAGTGTGCCGTCGAACCTGCGTTCAGAACGTGTTATCCATATTAGAAGAACTGCCACCGTGCATCCGGCAAAGGCTGTGCCAAGAAGACTTGCTCTCGGTCTTCCTAAAGGACACCGACGGCGAGGACGGAAATCTTCAACAGGAACTGGACGGTACGGACACGCAACGAGGGAGGAAGGAGCTGCCGGCCGGGAGTCAACGATTAGATGACTGTTCGCTTACGCCGGGTGGCAGACCGACACAGGGAGTGGGAGTAACGCAGACGATGGAGGAGAAACAGGTTCAAACGACCGTCGACGAGTCAGCCCTTTGCGAATTGTCGTCAGGATTTTCGACGGTACAAATGGGACCCACCACGGTCACCACTGGATTTCGTCAACGGACGGAACGGGCGTCGATCGTCATTCGTAGCATCGCGACGCGCGGCGCGCATATGCTGGAGGGGAGAATGCCACAATGTTGCTGCAGAGTGGTCAACACCGGAATCTATATCGGGATACTGTTTTTCCTGGCTCTCTTCGCGAGGAACAGTCCGACCTATCAGATATTTCTGTCTAGTCAAATCTGTGGAATCCTCGCGATCATAAGCTGGAGAATCTCCGGCGTCGTTCCATTGTAAAATAAATTTGACGAGGAACGTGAACATCGAAGGGAGTCGTGCGATTTTTAACCCGTTCAATAGCGAATATGTAAAATCTTGATTCGCTTCGAATTAAGTTTTTCTCGATCCAGCATCACTTGGGAATAAAGCTTTTTTCCTCCGATTCGAAATAATAGTATTGCCTCCTGGCACGGAACGAAGATAAACACAGCGTTCGCGACGCACTAAAAGTTACAAAGAGAACAACAACGAGATAATTATACGGCCACCGACAGCGCGACGAGCAGCAACGATCGGGGTCTTAACAACGATCACGTTGAAAGCCGCACGAATGCAACAAATCGTGAGCGCTCATTGAATGACGGCCGATCGGTTCCCCGAGACCGCAAACGCAGCGATCGCATCAAACTCGCCGACCGCAAATATCGATTCACGGATGAACGAGCCTCCGTCAGGCAACAAACGTCGCGTAGGATGCATCCTTTCGTAAAACGGAATCTCGTTAAGCATCCTCTATCGACAACCGCGGCACGGAATTCCCTGTGGAAATCGTTCTTCAAACATTCTTCGATCAATTCCTTCAAATTATCGTTAATAGACTAATAATTCAATGTACTTTTCTGCCACCATTTACTGACCGCTTATGTAAAAATGGATGCTGCGATATGGAACAGAAAATCTAAAAATATTCTTATACGATAAATGTCTGCTGGTCCCCTGTTTTCGATACAAATTTCTAGCGCACACCGATCGTGACGCGATAAATCATCGGGAAAATTGGACGTCGAGGGTGGTTACTCTCGCGTCGGGAACAGAGGGCGGAGTGGCAGAAATACATTAAACCCGCTATTAAGTATCGATAGTAAGTCAATCGAGTTGATCCCCTTTCTATTTCGCTCCCCCTCTGCCTCCATCCGTAAGTAAGCTCTCGCGCGGACACGATCACCCTTATCTTTATAGCGAATCACGAGACCTCGATTTGTCTGTAACCGTCCCCACACTGAAATGTTCGTCTCGCGTGCGAATTCCCTAACGATACAATTGTACATTCGTTGATGTTTTCATTTCATTCTACATGACATCTCTTATTCTAGATTAAAACGTATTTCGAAAGAAAATCAGATGCAGTAGAAACTTGCTTACATGGTTTCAATTTACTGTCTAATAAAAGATTCAACACTGTCACCCTATGTATTAATTAAAATGTCGTACATGCAACAAGTCTAACAAACTAAATGTTTTGTCAGGAAATACTATTCGTGCATATGTATATGAAATGCCAGAAGTAGAATGCGTAAAAAAGATTTTTATTCGAATTTCGCTTAAAACCCCGCGAACGATTTTGGTTTATTGAGTAGTAAATGCAATAAAACTGATCGAACATCGAGGAAAATTGTTTGGCTAATTTAAATTTGTCCCTCTCGCCCACGTTTCCCGTCGCAGCGTGTATTTCCCTGTCAAATTAGGCAGAAACAAACAAGCCCTCCATGGGCCGTGGCTAACGAGCCCATAATCGCAGGAACACCTCGACCCCAAAGCACCCCAATAGCCTCGAAATACGCCTGTGCACGTAAAACGTATAGAACGTAACCCACACGTGGAAACGGGAACGTGTAAGTGGCCTACGCGTCCATCTGGTTCGAAGCGGGACGCGTCGTATAAGTGTACGTACACGCGTGCGTACGCGGTGGAGTTTTAGGGGTGGAGAAGCCATCAAGCCCCGAGGACACAGCGGCGGAAGGGCTGGTACAAATGGATTACGGAAGCACTGGATATTATAGCGATCCGAAAGGCCATCCGAGTTACTTAAAATGTTTGCCGAGCTAACGACTTCGTAGCGCGCGCCCGCCGCCAGGTGTTGTCCCTGTTATAATTAAGTATGCCGCGGCTATTTCCGTGCCGACTCCGGCTACTAGCGGCTCCACGATTTCGAGACGATTGTCAGCCCGTCCCGTCCGGTATGTAATTAGTTACTCCGCTTTTGACCTTTGCCTGTCCTCCGTTATTCATCCCTCGCCCTTCCGTTCATAATTATATCTAATGTGCACACTTATCGTAACGCGAATGAATTAATAGGCGAATACGTATGAACGTGCTACGAAAACTTGTGGAACGAAAGGAGCGAGAAACGTGTTGTTGTAACGTGGCAATTACATTTAAAGTGTTCACGTTTTTAATTCCGTGATTGGAGATCGTGAACTGAAACGCCGGATGCGTAATTTCCTCAAGGCCACGGAAAATTCTCACCACGCGACACTCAATCCCCGTTCGCACGCTATTTGCACGACTGTACGTAGATAGTCGGTCAGGTTTTCCACTCGTGAAATGAGAAAACAGCGGGATAACGCGCGGATACATAGGCGTTTACCGATCCCTTCCCGGGTTGGGGTTTCTCTCTTCTTTTTTCTACCCTCCCTGTCCGTTCCTCGCGGCTCTCTCTATCGTCCTCTCGTTCCTCCGGTTCCGTGTGTCGTGTTTCGCGATCCGTGCACGGTTCTCTCGCGTAACGTGCACGTTTCACCCATGCCCAGCCGGAGGCACGTGTGAGTGTGTAATGTAGGTTGCTGGCACCTTGATGAAGGGTTCGCGTGACGAGTACCCTCGATCCGCCGGTATCCTGTCTCGCTCTCCGCTGACCTGCTCCTCGTCCGCACCTCCTATTCCGCGTGCTGCGTTTCGCAGAGCACGATCACCTACTTAAACTTTGAAAAATATACACTCGTCGCGAGGGCTGCGCGAACTGAGCCCCGCCGCCGTCCGGTTCGACTTTCGCTGCTTTCGTGCAACCTTATTCACTGTTCCTTTTTACCGAACCGTTGGCGTTAATCAGTAGAACTCAATTAATACGAATCGGCAAATGAATCTTAATTTTGTATTTTATATTTCATTCTCATTTTATTTTTTTATTGTACGACAATCAATTTTACGAACCCGTGTATTAATAAAATATTGTTATTAAAGCGCATACCTGGACGTTTAGGGTGAAAAGTTTCTTAGTTTATGATTTTCATTGTTATAAGTAAGGATTGATTTTTATTTGCAATCATTTGGGTACCGGTAATGGTTTTATGACTCCTTTTCTGCAGTTTGTGATCATCGGAAAATATCCGATTAGAAAGACATCTTTTATTCGACAGGGTTCGACAGGTCAGAATGCAGACCCAAGACAGGAAGGTCTTCATTGTCAAGACGTCGACATCGGAATAGTTTTCGTTCCGGTAGACAAATTCATTGTCATACTGTACTCAGTTCCAAATAGTCTCATTAAATACTAAGTTTTCAACAAAGCGTAAAATATTTATTGCTTCATCCAGTATAGTATTTTAATTTATGGATTACGTGGACTCGAACTAAATACTGTTTTCGACTACGTGCCATTATAATTGACCTGTCTAAAAAATTTATTCCAATTTTTATAGAAATATTTAAAACCATTTCTGATGTACATTTATTAATTTATTTTATTCCATACTCGTTCTCCATCTTTTGCAGCCAAGCAAGTGGCCACATATTTTTAAGCAACAGTGAAAGTAATTATAATATAACTACTGTCCAATTTGTTTTCATTAACCCGTACAATAATAATTGTATTGCAAGTACAAATCGATTGTAGAAAGTCAGCTAGTAGTTTTATTTACTATACCACTTAATTATGTTATCGCTTAATAAAATGGCAACATTTATGCTATAAATTTCGTTGATACATAAATTATATCATTGGCTCGATAAACTGAGTCCTACGGTATTCGCGAAAGCTACCGAACCCGTTTCGGAGTTTCTTTTATTTCCGACGACGTCGACGCCGAAAGAGACCACTGGTCGGCTGCACCAATATCAGTTTCCTATACGTGTATAAGTAAGGAGTAAGATAAGGGTACGTTATCGGGTCAGGTGAAACGAGGACCGGCGAAAACTCGTTGATTACATGGTGCGAGGCGAGAAGATCGGTTCTAGAAAGAGTCCTTTGAGAAGCCCGTCTTTTACCGAACGCGTGTCCGTGCTTTCTTTCGTTTCGCGAATGACGACGTTTGCACGCACGAAATTGGCTTTGTTCACGATATTGAAATCGAGGCCGTCTACAGAAGGACGAAGGAAAGGAAGAGGCCGAAGAGAAAGAAAGAGAGAAAGAGAGTGAGAAGCTGGCGGGTGCCAACGTGGGAAAAAAGAGACCCCGTGAACCTAGTCCTCGAGGAAGAATCAGAGGAGTATATGGCCGTGGCACCCCGTAGGGCCAGACAATTCCACCTGATTGGTCCGAATTCGTATTGTCACTCGAGAGACTGACGTTCTCGTTCAGCTGGGATTTCGTGCCAAGTTTCTCGTGCTAACGACGCTCTATTCGTGCATTGCCGCGTACCTTGATATATCGATCGTCCCCAGGAAAAGCGTTAAGCTCGGCGACACACCCGGCGAATTGTTTAGAAACATTTTTTTCAGGTTCCTCGACGCCTGCCAGCGCGACGCCTTTTTTCATCATTAGACGAACATTAATACGTTCGGTGATCGTGAATTGAATAAAAAATAAAGTAATTAAAATTGTTTCCTAGATTTCATTTGCCAAATGGAGATCGACGGCGTTCATTTTGCCAATTAGGACCGAAAATGTTAGTCGATGTTAATGATTTGTGGAGGTTTACCGAATCGTTTCGCAACAGGAACCGTTTCCTCTTCGACTTCTTCGAGCTCTCTCCGGTTCAGGTAAATTACTTTCTGGCGTTAATTGCCTCGATTTACTACGTGCGAACAAATTCGACGGGAACACGCTCGCGCGCGCGCGCGCGCGTTCGACCAATAACGGGAAAATAAAATTTTTTTCGGCGGGGTAATTAGACGGCGTCACGCCGCTACGATTCCGGTCGTTAATTATCCCGTGGTGGCGCGGGGTCGAGCGTTTCCAACAAAGAAACGGCGCCGCGGCCAGTAGGGTCGTCCGCCGCCGGGTAACCGGCAAATTGCGACAAACTCAAACAAAACTTCCGAGCGAGCGCGTACTCGAACTAATGGATTTCATTGACTGACGTTTTACGAGATATTTAAGGGAGTTTTAGGTGTAATTTATCGCGGCTATTTGACCGGCTCCGTGTGCGTCCGGCACACCGAGCCATAACACGCACCACCACCGTGCCGTTTGTTCGCTCGCGCGTTCACATTTTTATAGGTATGCTAATAAAGTCGAGTCCGCCGCAGCTGCGCGCTCAAAGGATGCGTGACCACGTCGAAATTACGAGATGTTTGCAGGCAACGGAGACTAACTCTAATATATATACTAAATCTGTCAAGGGAACTGGCAAACAAACGTAATAGTTGTTTGTTACACCGTTCGTTAATTCCACTCTATTTAACGTTTTCGAATTAAATAAACTTGCACGTTTAGTAAAAGTCCATTATTTCTGTATCGTCCGTCATTAATTATCGATGATAATTACGGTAGTAACTTTCGTTTCGGCGTTTAATCTTAAGAGGTATCATCGAAACGAAACGAACAGGATAATACGTTATCGTCGACACGCGACCAGCCTCGCAGAAATCAAGAGACACTCGGTTTCTGATAACGCGTGCAATTATAAAGGCTCGATTAAATAACTCTGACGTCTTCGCCATCAACAACATTATCAATGTTATAGATATCAGTTCTTACCGTTAACGGGATACAGACAACTAGTAAGTTACTGCTTTGCCTCGCGCAATCGTGTAAACGAATTCTTTGAATATCCGCTGACACCGCTTTCTCACCGTAATAAATATCCTCGATTCATCAAGTATTCCCGATTTGGTCATCTTCCGCTGCACCTGCACGCGCCACGCGACTCTCCTGTTCTTATTCGCACGAGGCGTTAACCAATCGAGCAATAAGTACACTACGGATTCTTAATGAGAACTTATGTTTCTGCATATGTTTTCGTAGTCGTGCACAATTTTTATAAATTCAATGGATCATCGTCAGCCCGAAATTACAGAACTTTGATCACTTCCTTAAGGATGTATTGGCTATACAGTTAATACCAAAAGTTCATGTACCTTAGTAAAACGCATTTCCTATCATTAAAAATAGTGCATTTATCTTCTAATTTCGATATTTAATGAGTTAAGTATGATTATTTGGCATTTTATTGATGTTGACAAAATTCGACCATCCCAGCGT